ACTTGCCTCCCACTGTCTGCCGCCGCAGCCACCTCAGCCATGGGTCGTCCATCCCACAGCATCGACCGTCCATCACGTCGCCTGTTTTTACAGTTCATTTCATTTTCAACAAACCAAAGAGACCCTAAGTAACCTTGAACTATCGATACAGTTGAAGAGAATTCATTTTCATTCAATCTATAAATGTAATTTTTAATTAATAAAAATACTCAAAAGTAATAAAATAAGTGGGCATACATTTTTTAAAAAATTAAAAGATATACCAATCTTTGATTGCATACATTTCAAGCGAATCTTAATTTAGTTATATAATTGTTGTTGATGTTGGAATGTAAAACCTGATACTATACATATGCAATTGATATTAGAAAAACTCAAATATATGCAAGTCGGTGATACTACTAATTTTTTTTTTAACAACAGATTTTGCAAACATGCATGGTTTATCATCCTTCAGTATTTTTTTTTTGTTTAGCTTATGGTCTTGCTAATGCTTCCCATAAAATAAACTTAAAAAATTATCACATGTTATACATCGAATAACAATATTAAATCTAAGAATTATAATAAAAATAGAAAATTAAAATTTTGTATCTCAGTCCAACAACTAATAGGTCACGTTAGATAATTCATTTATTGTGCCTTTGTCTGCAAACCATTTTTAGTTTACTAACCTTTGTAACCAATAACAGAATAACTATAAGAAAATTTAAAAATTTATAACTAGTTTTATTAAGAAATCTAATGTGTCAGACTATGCAAATAGCCTAAAGGACAGGAGAATTTACACCGTACCGAACGGTAACCTCGGAATCCTAAAACGTTAGGACTTATAATTACACAACAGAGTTGTGCAAAAGGCCTAAAGAAGTGATCCTATGGGTTATTTAAACTAAGGAAGGTGATAGGTGATGTGAATGTGTTTTGCTGCTGCAGATTCATCTTGAAGTTATCCCTTGCCGTGCTGCCCACGATGTTCGCTCCAAACTCCTCGTAGTAGCACCTCCTGGTATAATTTTAGTTTTGAACATGCTCCTAACCACTAGGTTATCCTAAACTAAGGCATAGTGTATCAGAGTAACTACTTTTGCCTCCAATTTATAGGAGTGTATTTGTACAATAACAGAAAAAATGAAACAATTATGGAAACTGTTCTTAATACAATTGATACTCTAATTAATCGTATAGATTTTATATTATATTAGTATTATAATTTAAATTCTAATATAACAGTAATTTGTTGGTCAGTCCGCTTGAATTCGATCGGCTAAGTGGCAACCAACTGAGTGGCGACCGTGCCTTCCGAAATAAATGTCGTCGACAGAGGCACTTGGTCGAATGACTATCTCGTCTGCCGTAGTAAAAGTAGGTCGACAGACTAGCTTGCAATCAAAGACACTTGCATGCGTCTTGGTTGGTTGGGACTGCAAGTGGGGTCCGACGATTAAATTTCTCGCAATAGTTAATCGAACTTGATCACATGATCGCTTGTTGGATGGTAGGATACCTTGGTTGTCTAACCACCAACTAGGCTGTTCGATTGTTTTGAGATTCGTGCAGATAGTTTTGGTGTATACATATTAGTTCCCCAAATTTTCCTGCTTTTTGAAAACGATAGCTATGATAAGGACGAGAAAATTATTAGAGTTAATGGTGTACTAGAATCAAGAAAATCAATTTAATAATTAACTCTCCTTGGATTATGTGCCCAGAGTGCTACTATTTCTCCGCCTAAACAGGTATTCATCAGGTGGACAACCAATTTTAAAACGTATTTTTAAGTTTATGTTTTGACATACACACAAATTTTTAGACATGCAAAGAGGAGTTATCAATTTTGTTTCTTAGAAAAGTGTGTTTTCATTTGAAAATGATTTATCCAAACTTATCTCTTTTTTTTTATTAGAAATCTGTGTTGTCCACGAGTCGATTACGCTACCAGGCATAGGACTGCCAACAACCTGAGGAGGTTCGAGCCGACTACCGCTAGACTTATGTCGGTGAAGAATACAATATCCTATTGTTCATCAAATGCCTGGATCTTGATGTTATAGGATATGGTATCTCTCTGCTCTATCTTCGGTATGCCTTTATCATCAACACCGTACGCCCCAAAACGACTACTTGCGACCTTGCGTGATGGTTTCACGTATAGCAAAAGGCTATACGTGGACACTTATGCATCGGACATAAGCATCGAAGGGTATTCGTGTGGGAGCCCATGGCAAAAGTGTCGGAATGGTGTGGCAAGGGACTAGGAAACGGTTCGGTCTGGTTGATCGATGTTTAGACTGGTACCCGCATGCGAAAGACAACAGGGAACAAAAAATCCCTCATCACGGTAGAAAACTTGGAGAAGGAAAACACCGAGCTGAAGGAAGTCGCCTTGTCGGTACCCAAGGAACAATATGAGAACCGGTGGGTGATGGATTATGCTATTCAGAAATTCGTTCGTCGTGACCTGGTCGATCCTAAATTCTCTGACCAGAAGGGGTTCTCTGCTCCCGGGACGAGCTACTAAAAGTTCTGATGGAGAGGATGATTTAGGCAGTGAAGAAGGGTTAGGTGCCACTAATATCCTACAAAACAAGAGGTTTTTTTCCTTTTTTTTGTCAGAAAAAAAAATTGTATTCCCTCCTTTTTTTCTCTTTTTTTGAATATATGAGAAACTGGTTAGCTCATGCTATTTCTTTCTGGATTGATTGTGTTTTTTGATTGATCGTGTGTTCATCTGATGAGTCGATCTGTTGTACGGGTCGGCCGATCGACATGTCTCGTTTTTTCTATATAGTTGGGTCGTCGCCTCTAGAGAGACTCGCATCTAAAGAAACCCTTTAGACTGGTTGCGAATCTTGTCGTACGGTGTTTGTCTCGGTCACCTTCAAAGCTAGACCCCCGAACATTGGATGTCATGCCTCGTCGGTCGCCCTTTAAGCTTCAAAGGATTTGTTTAATTTTAAGTTGTTGATTGGGAATCGAATCGCATTCCCAACTGCTTCCCATAGCGACTGGTTAAAATGTGTTGGCAGACTGATTTCCCATATATATTTTATTTTCATTTTTATTGTTATTTATTTGGCGTACCCTTGTTCAGTGAATTTCAGAGTCACAGTCTCCAGCAATGCTTTTGATGGGGTCGAGTTCCTCGAGCGTCGAGATCTGGCTGTTAACCATCTCAGTGGTTTGGTATAGTCGCCCTATCACATGATTCTAGTGGGTGAATGTTAAAGACTGCACTAATCCTTACTTGGATTCTTCCGTTGTTCCTTTTTTGGGAATGTCGTAGTTGACCTGTCTTGTCACTGAAGCACGTCGCCCCATGGTGGGTCCTTGTGTCGGGAGACCACTGTTCCCGACAGCTGATTTCCTTCTCCCACTTTCCTATGGTGTATCAAGTTTGTCATTGAGCGGTTGATGCGCGGTCGGCTAGCTAGCACTAATAGAAAATATGCAGTTCAACCTAATAAAAATAAATTCAGTATAAATAATTTTATCTTTTAAAATCTCTAAGTTGTCAAACCCTTAATAATAACGCAAGTATACGTATCACTCAAGTAATAAAGGGCTCTAATGGAGTCCTAAATATCAATCCCACAAGGAGTTGAAAATTCTTATAGTTATAACGTCAAACTGGATATTCAAACTATAAAACATAACTAAGCAAGACAAATACAATAAATTTAACGTGCGCTAAAGGAAATGCAGTTGAAAGAACTAAGTTAACTAAACTAATTATTAAACTTCAAAAGTAAACTTATAAAGACTAAACAAAGTTTTGTAACGAATAGTTCAAATTTAAGAAAGCATCATTCCCCTTTACAATGAGTTTATGGAATCTGAAGAAATTAAAATTATTTTGAAATACATATATAAAATTGTATTATGCCAAATAGAAGCAATCTTATTCTTTACCCTCAAAGACTGCATAAAAAACATTGGTTAATCCAGAATTTAATCTCTATATCTGTTGTTATCTTGAGAGGATACTGGTTGTGGTTATGTTGGGAGGATATTGACTCTCACTCCAGAGCTCTCATTTGTCCCTCGCCTAAGGGCTAACAATCTTGTTTTAGTTTCCAAGCAACTTGACCAAATTGGGAATTTTAATATGTTATCTTAAAATGTCCAATTTTGCACCGATCAAAGTATATTTCCCTATTTATTTGCTC